GATAATTTTTTCCCGGCAGACGAAGTAGTATTATTAGTTGTTTTATTCTTACATTCACTAAGACAACAATTTTTGCTTCCATTACATTAGAGGTGAAGATTTTCTTACTATGGATTCTTTGGATATGTCTACTAATCAAGAATTCGGTTTTCACGTTGAAAGTACTTCCCAAAGTCCAATTGAATCTTATGTGGCTTCCATTTGTCTGATAATGTGATTTCAATAGTTATTTGATTTTACAGCAAAAAATCTCTTTAAAAAATATGGGATATTCATTTTGTATTGAAATTCAATTTCTTAGGTGAACAACAAAGCGACATTGATGTTTTCAGGTTTCATGAGCGACAATTTATGGAGGTAAGATATTTGCGGTTGTGTTCTCATTGTTGTATAATTTTATTAGAAACATTAGCAATGTGAACCTGAAAATGTTACTTGCAGCTTATTCTTTTTGAATATAAATCCAAAATTAGATTAAAGGTTTTGGTATCAACAGACATTACTAGAATGGAACGTTCTAACTAGTTTGTTAATATTTAAAATGACTTTATTGTTTTATTTAATTTAAGTTCTACTTGCTTTATTTTTAGTTTTTCGCTATCCCCTTTTATTTTTAGCGCTCACGTACATTCATCAATTTTGGTGATCGTTGTCTAAAATAAAAAACCTCAACATCTATATTTACACATCAATTTTTGTTCAATCAACGCACATATCTCCAGTCATTTCTTAACATTGAACACGTTAATATTACCTTCAAAATATCTCAACCCGTGCATTTTTATAAAAGGTTAAATTTATGCTTCTCTTTTTTAAGCTCCTGTTTGATAGAGATTAAAATCAGTTTTTAAGTAGATTTTAATAAAAATTGATAAAATATATGGTTGAGAAATTGTGAAGCACATTCAAAATAGGTTGGGAATAAGAGGAAGGTAGTATTTATGTTTTCTTTTTCGGGATTTTATTTATTTGAATTTGAATGGTCAATTGAATAATACTTGTACAAATTCAAACTGATTTATTTTAATGATAGCCATTTGAGAGATGGAATCCGTGAAAAACGATCTTTACGCACCAAGATCAATTGGTAAAATTCGAAAATGTTTATGCATGTTTACACTGAGTAATAGCTATTATATGTTTTGAAGCAAAGGAGAGAGGTGCCCTAATTAGAAATTTTAATATATCTACTCTCTCTTAAAAGAGGGAGTTTGGGGTATACTATTCATTTGTGTTTTCTCCACACAGTTTACTGTTACATGTGTGGACAAAAAAAAGACAATTGTGATGTTTCTCAGAATCCCAAGTAGCGCAATTATTGACTAAAAGTGATGGTATTTCTACTCTTTTTGGTCAGTTTCCACACTGGTTTGGCTAATCCTTAAACTAACTGCAGTAACACAGTTAGTTCTCTTATTTTGACAACTACGACAACAACAACAAAGAAGACCATTCCGCTTTCATATGTTCAAACTCAACTCGAAGTTCTGAACTACCACGTGAAGCACTTTCTTTTCTCTAAAGTTGCAGCGACTGGATTCCTTATGGTCACTTACGGTCAATATAAGGCAAGCTCTCATTTTTTCGTATTTCCATAAAAAATGTTTACACTTCAACATTTGCGAATGGTGTCTTCAATAATGAATTAATTGTTCAAGATTTGGGTTATTAGTTGTTCAAGATTTGGGTTACTCATTGTTTTGACGCATGTCTTCTTATTGTTCAAGGTAAAATCGACATATATTTCAATTGTTCTCAAAGGTTTGTCTATACACATTTTTTCGTCTTTTCCTCCCACAAAAATTGTTTAAATGTCAAAATTTGTAGAGGGTGTCTTAATAATGAATCTGTTGTTCAAGATTTGGGTTATTCATTGTTTGGATGGTTGTTTTCTTATTGTTCTGAAAATTGACATCTATTTCAATTGTTTTCAAAAGTTTGTTTATACTCATTTTGCAAGGAAGGGAAAAAGAAAAGAAAAAAGTAATTTGAAAAAAATAAGCGGAACGACGTCTCCATGCATCGCCAAGGTCCCCACGTGGAGAAGCCTCCTCGTAGTGTGAAGTGACTCGCGGAGTCTCTGCATTGCTCGAAGGACCCTCCGCACAAGTGAATCTCCGTGAGCGCGGAGCAGCCTCCACACACGCGGAGCTCCACGCGCGGAGAAGTTCTCCGTGTGCGCGGAGCTCCAGGTTGCTCCGATACCCATGTCTCCGCTCGTGCGAAGACATGATTCTTCGTCCATTAGAGTATGATTAACTTGTATGTGTTAATTTTTTCCCAGCAGACGAAGTAGTATTATTAGTTGTTTTATTCTTACATTCACTAAGACAACCATTTTTGCTTCCATTACATTAGAGGTGAAGATTTTCTTACTATGGATTCTTTGGATATGTCTACTAATCAAGAATTCGGTTTTCACGTTGAAAGTACTTCCCGAAGTCCAATTGAATCTTATGTGGCTTCCATTTGTCTGATAATGTGATTTCAATAGTTATTTTTGTTGAATTGAAGAACTATTGAATAAAAATAACCGGTAGCATTTTTATGATAGGTTTCAAAATATCTCAACCCGTGCATTTTTATAAAAGGTTAAATTTATGCTTCTCTTTTTTAAGCTCCCGTTTGATAGAGATTAAAATCAGTTTTTAATCAGATTTTAATAAAAATTGATAAAATATATGGTTGAGAAATTGTGAAACCTATAAAATATGTGACTAGTATTGCTTTATTAAAGACTCAAAAGTGAGTTTCCCATTCGGGTGGGTAGGACTCCTACCCACTTTCTTTTATAAGTTGACGACAACATTCTCATCAGATCAACTCACGACGAGGACAATTAAATTACATTTTTATCTATACCAAACAAGGGCTAAAAATTCTATTTTATTTAAAGCGACCAGCTAATTCGATGAAGGATATCATAACTATGGACTTCGAGTATCCGTGTTGGATGTGTTCCTTTTAGCTAGCCGAACATTGTCACATAGACAATAAAGTGATAGTTAACTAACACATTCACATGTTAAGTTTAGCCAATGTTACATTTGAATAGTCAAATAGATAGTCAACCTTCTATTCAACAATCCAATGGATATTAATAAATTAGTTCAACGAATTTATTTTACATTCAAGTGATATATTTCATATTCAATAGTTATATTTCTTAAGGGTTAATTTCACAAATGGTCACTGAAGTTATCTGAAATTTGAAAATTTCAAAACGGTTACTGAAGTTTCAAAATTTCAGACACATTCACTGAAGTTTGAAATTTCTTTCAAAACGGTCACTGAATTTTCAGATTTTTTGGCCAAATTTGAGGCAATTTTTCGACAACTTCCGACCATCAAAATCGCCGATTTCGGATACCGTTGGAATGCCCACGATGTCCTCTTCAATTACCACAAAAAATCTCCCCAAAACTCCAAGTAATTCGGTCAGAATAAAGCCACGAAGTCGGCAACCGAAAATTGTGAAAATCTGCCCAGATTTTCAGATTTTTTGGGCAAGTTTGAGACAATTTTTAGGCAACTTCCGACCACCAAAACCGTCGATTTCGGATACCGTTGAAAAGCCCACAATGTCCTCTTCAATTACCACCAAAAATCTCCCCAAAACTCCAAGTGATTCGGCCGGAATAAACCTACAAAGTCAGCTACCCAAATTGGGCAGATTTTCGGATTTTTTTGGTAGCTGACTGACTTCGTGGGTTTATTCCGACCGAATCCCTTGTGAAATTAACCCTATTTCTTAAAGGTTAACATTTCAATTTCATCAATATATACTCTATTTAAACCATCCCTCTCTTCATGTACAACTGTCAACAATAAAATTTTAATTCATTTCCAACTTAATTCTTTATTTTTATTTTTATTTTTTTATAGAAAATATGGCTTTATCGTCGCAATTTATTCTTACGATTAAGTGTAGTTCTACTTCGTCAACATCATTCCAAAAAACAATAATTATTTTATTTTATTTTTTGTGAGAAATGAGGTAAGATTGGAACAAGACCAATAAAAAAAAGGGAAAAGACAATTAAACAATTGTGTAATGGTCATTTTCTTGAACAAATTGAGATTATAATTATTTTTTGTTATAAACTAAGACCGAACAAGGAAAAAAAAAATAATATTACAGTAAATTCAAAAAAAAAATCTTCGTTTTTAACCATAAAAAAATACTATTTCAAAAAATTATAATTTTAAATAATGGGGCCGAACGGGGGCGAGCTCGGTAGCAACGTAGGTAACTTGTAACACGAATAAATGTTCTTAATTAATATACTAATCCGTTAATTGAAGAGATAAATTTGACACATGTCTTAACGCTTGATGCTAACATGTTCATTGCATTATAGTTAAATAGACCATGATTTTCTGACCTAACCCTTTTGATAGTGACACCGCTACATTCTAATAGGAGCTTGTGGTTTGTTTGAAGCGATCATAATTTGATAATTCATTTTCACAAAATAGAGACTTATTTCCAAACTTTGTTTTTTTTTTATGGATTGTTTTTATATCAAGGTACAATCCTGGAGGAGTCAATTGTTGAATTTCATGATAAATTGCAAGGCAAAGTCTGCTTTTTTCTCCTCTTAATTTCAAACCAGAAAGATAAAGAGTTTTCTTATTATTTTATTTATGCTAAGTACACGTGACATAATATATTTAAATTATAAATTGATATTCTCCGGTCCTTCAAATATCAAATCCACTTTTAATAGTGCCTTTAATTTTAAATCATTAATTTAAATCTTTCGAGTCATTTTCCGTTCACCGTCGAATTTTTGCTTTGCTCAAACCTAACTTGATTCAGCATTTAACCCATACTCCTTCATTGATTCATCTATACAATACCTCAAAATTATTTCTGGTAGAACGAAGCTAAGAAATCTACAAAACGAAATAAAGTTCATCCCGCATCCATGAACCTCATCCAAATTCACCCCTTCCAAAGCCTATTTTTCCATGATTTCAATTCGATCATTCATTCATTAGTCAATCTTGCTTATCCCAATTCGCTTCACCACTGCATTCCTGATCGCATCTGTCTGCTTCAAAAACCCGTTGGGCTCGATCCCTGCCATGTAATTCCGCACCTCTTTCCTTATCATCTCCTGCAGAGTTGCCAAGAACTCCGGGCTAAAAAACTGTTTATCCGCATCAAACTGGTATGGCATAGCCACCGCCCCGACTGCAGGTTTCGCTGCTGCAGTAAACTGCGGAGTCTGCAGAGACACTGGCGGCGGCGGCGGCGTAAAAGTTATCAGAGAAGCTTGAACGGGTGGTGTCTTGACTGGTGCCGGAGACTGGATTATCTGGGCATGGTGCATAGGGGACCCTGATTTAAGATCCGGCTCCTGTAAAGGTTTAGGCGTCGGGTCTGATATAGGTTTCATTTGTGTGGGCAAGGATTTCATGCTCGATTCTAAAACGGGTTTTGAATTGGAACCCGACCCAGGTAGGGAAAGGCTAAGTGATGTGAGGAGGTCTGGTTGAGAAGGCGTAGGATGAGGAGGAGAGATCCCGCCGGTTCTTGGAATGGGTCGGTAAATTTGATGACCCGAAAGACTTGATTCGCTCAAATCGGATCCGGATGGGCTGCTAGGATCGAAATAAAGGCCCGAGTTAGAAATCATTGTACCCGGCCCGACACTTGAAGATCTTTTCAATGGCTGATGAGTTTCCGGCTCGAAGTTATTGAACTCTTCGGACATGGAAAAGCACTTACGCTTCAGAGTCGAGTTCCAATGATTCTTGATAGCATTATCCGTCCGGCCCGACAATAACCGTGATATTGTAGCCCACTTGTTGCCAAATTTCGCGTGAGCCCGAATGATTGTCTCATCTTCTTCATGTGTGAAAGCCCGATGCTGCACTTCAGGGGAAAGCTGGTTGCACCACCGCAACCTGCACGATTTACCAGACCGTCCCGGAATCGATTTGCTAATCAAAGACCAGTTTCTGGGTCCATGCTTCTCCACCAACCTCTGCAACAACTCATCCTCTTCGGGGCTCCACGGGCCCTTGATCCGATCCATTTCTCTAGTCTGTGATAACACCGCCATAACCAAGACAGACACAAGTTTCTGTATGTACAGGTGTATTGAGGGGCAGAGCCTCACCTCAGAATGAGACGTAGGCAGAGATGAGGAAGCGGATGTATATAAGGGTGAAGAAGAAAGATAATGACCGGGTGAACCGGTGGCGTGACCGGGGAAAGGGCAGTTACTAACAACACAGCTGGCAATGGACACGCGTCGTTAGGTGGAAGGCTAGATGTGACACCTAGATTACTAAAATCTCGGGTATTTAAAAAAAAGGAGAGTGGGAGGTATTGGATTAGAAAATTCAAATCACCGACCGTTTTGGAAGTTAATATAATTATGGGGTTGGGAGATTGAAGTTTGACTAAGGCAGCCAGGCTGTAGAGCATAACGGGGGGATTTGATATTTTCTCAGATAGTGAGAGATTTTGATTTTAAAATAAGGATAGAGGAAAACGACAAAACAAAAGATGTATGTAATGTGGTCGAGGCCAGGCTGTAAACTGACACACACATCTAACGGCCATTCTCAACCACCCAAATTAAGGCTATCATTTTCTTATGTCGAATTTAGCCCTTGATTGAGCTATTTGAGTGATTAAAAATAATGTAAAAGCTTGTGTAAAATTATTTTATTGGATAATGTATGATTAAAAATAATTTATTTGATAAAATGAGATTCAACCAAGAGTTTTTTTTTATCGAATTATTGTTGAACACGGGTACATAAATAGAACGGATGAGCCTTAAACTCGAGCTTTTTAAATTTTTCAGTAATCAAAATTAATATATTCAACGAGTTTATAGTCTTGTCTGCTTAATCGATTTCGACTCTTAACACGTTATACTTGCTCGTGTTATTTTAATTATCACAATTTTTTCACTTTTCACTTTTTATAATTGTTTATGGATATTTTGAAGTTTCAAGGTGTCTTGCAATTGCAAATTCGTCTCTAATTTTATAAAGTATTGCAAGTAATTTTCAGATTATTATTTTTATGAAGAAATTATATAAAATTTCATTTTTTATTCAAGAGATTATAAATATTATAACAAGTTTTTAACTATAACTAATCAGACAATTTGGTCAAAATATGGTCAAGGAGACTTTGTTGATCAAACTTTGAAATAAAGGGAAATTATTGTAATTTTTTAAACGTGTGAGAATACCGTGGCATAACCAGAAACTGAAGGGAGTCTCTTTGTAATTTTCTAGATTTAAAACATAGCTTTTGCCTTTTGCTCATACTTATCCAGTTTGATTCCAATATTATATTACACGTCTCCCTCATTAGTCCTTTTTTGTCACGTAAACGTAAGAGCACCTTCGAGATAGTTTTTAATACTGAACGCTCCATATTTTAAACAGTAAAGAATCACATTATTATTTTTTATTTTCATTTTTTTATTTATTTTTAAACACACATTTTTTAATAAAATAATATTTTTCATCATATCAATAATTTTTCCTTCTTTTTCAATCACATATTCTCCATCACATCAACAGTAAAAATACATTCTTTTTTCAAAAATGCGCACCAAACGGGTAATATTTAAAATTTATTTTTCTTATTAAGCTCATGTTTGAGTCACATTAAAATTTTTATACTCATTTTCAACCACACATTCTTCAATAAAATAATATTTTCCATTACATTAATAACTTTTCCTTCTTTTTCAACTACAAATTCTCCATCAATCTACTGTTCCAAAATATATTCTTCCAAAATAATGTGACTCAAATACCTCCTAAATAAACAGTTAGTTTGTTTCGAGGGTAGCAATGAGGCGACCCAAGTCGACTCTCAAGTTAGTTTGTTTCAAGGGTAGCAATGAGGCGACCCAAGTCGACTCTCAAACCCATCCATTAGGCTCGGGTTAGTTTGCTGGTCCAATGGACCTGAGCTTTTGAGCTCATGAGCTAACTCAGGATCGGCTTATTTTGTAAAAATTGAGCGTAGTTCGTGAGTCCTTTTAGATGAAAATTTAGAGATTTTTCAAGAGGAAAAACGAAAAAATTACTTTTTAAGAACATTTAACATTCATAATTTGAACGTTGTGAAAACGAAAATTCAAAACATTTAATGATGGACATTTTGCTCATCACTTTTTTGTTTTTATTACTACGATTGCAAGCTATTAGGGCATTATTTACAAACTTTTTTAGGCTTGCTTAAAGCAAGATAACGATTGTACAAGTCATCACGAGCCGACTCATAGCAGGCTGTTCAATCGAACCTACTGGCTAGCTCGTGAAACTCATTAGTAGATCGCGTTTGACTCGCCAAATAAGGGATGAGCTCAACTTGGCTCACGGCACATAAAAACATGGGCCCACGTCACTCATGACCAGTCAAGCAGCAAGTATCAAGAGTGGCTCGGCTTAATTGTCACCCGTAGCTTGGGACTCCAAATTTTGAGTCTCTATTTTTAAAATTATAAAGGGTGTTTTTAATTAGCTGTAGATTTCAATACTCTATATTTTAATTTATTCAAATTATATTTGAATTAATTGTCATTCACAAATAAAACATTATTTAAAAGAAAAATATTGAGAAAAGTTAATAAATATTTTTTGAAAAAGCAAAATAAAGAGTCAAAATAGAAATCAATATTAAAGCGTACCAAAAAAAATTATTGTCTCTATAAAAAGATAATTTTTGGAGATACTCTAAATAAATAAGAAAAAAATGTATTTTTTTTTTTTAAAAAAAAGGGGATCAAACAAGTTCTAAATAATGAAATTAAATGAGTAATTTAATTCCAATTCCATTTAGCTTTTGTTTCATCCCATTTTTTCAAAATATGTTTTTGTTATCTCTTCTTTTCAACCACTCATTTTACAATAAAATAACATTACGCGCAATCAAAATACATTACTTTCATTTTAAATCATATATTTTTCATCAATCTACTATAACAAAATGTATTATATACTAAAAATGACCATTATATGGTCAAAACAATATTTCAAATAGTGATTTTTAGAAAAATGTGTTGTTAATTTGATATTTGATCCCTCATTATTTTCAAAATACATTTTTATATTTTATTTTCAATCACACATTTTTAAAAATATTTTTTTATTTTTTAACCACACATTCTTTATCAAAATATTATTTCAAAAGACATTTTCATAAAAAAAGAGGCTTAAACAGCTCTAAAAAAATAGAAATTTTTCTGAATTTACGTGCAAAATATTTTATTGTGTAAATATGTGATTGAAAATAAGTATGTATAAAAAAATTTCTCAAATAATGGTTGTCAAACAGTGACTTAATCTTATTATTTGTGTCTCATTATTTATAAAACTTATTTTTTTCTCGATTCATTTTCAATCGTACATTCTCTCACTAAAATAATTTTGTACACAAATTCAAAAATTTGACTACGTTTAAAGTTAAGAATTAAGCTGAATGAATAAAATACTTGATATAGGGGTTGACTGACCACTCACATTGTATATGGGTTCCGACCTGAATTAAATAATGCCGACCTCTCTCATGTATGTGTTGTGTCATCATTTATGTCAAACATTATATTTATGTAGGAAAACTTGTTAGCTAAACCGTACAATCTCTCAAAAATCATTATCACAAATTTTATTACCCCCTACTCTAAAATGGGTTCAAACTGGGGCAGCTCACTTGGTTCAAGGTTCCTTCGTGCGATAGCCGTTTCTCCTCGTTTAGTGTACCGCCAGCTGGGTGCTTCACATGCAATCCTTCTTCCGTTTCTCACGTATTCTGTCCTTTGCACGTAAATTCAGCACGTGACTCTTCCATCACACGAATGCTTCTAATCAGCACATGGATAAGGGCGATTTTTGGTAATTAAGATATATCTATATTTTAATTCTGAAATAAATTGAATTTAAGGCTTTATAGATTTTAGCAAGTACAACTATTCTATTTATTTAACCACACGTGTGATGAAAATAAGCCTCCCGTATCGCCCTCATTATTTGAGATTATAATTTTCAAAATAGTATTTTTATGAAAAATGTGTAATTTTTTTTTTAAATTGAATTTATGTATAATATTATTTTATTAGAGAATATTTTATTGATAAAAAGGAAAAAAATAAATTATAATTTTAATGATGGTCAAATGGAGACTGAGCCCCTCTTTGACAACCATTATATAGAGTTTTTTTTTTTAAATAATAATTTTTTGAAGAACATATACTGAATATTTTATTGTGAGAATATATGATTGAAAATAAGTTTAAAAAAATTGTTGTCAATGATAGATTAAAAATAGAGGAGACACATGTCGACACATGATTAAACAGTTTGAAAAAAAACATAACACTCAATCATTGCCTACAAGGTCATCTCTGCTATTGAGCCTGTCCAATGAACATTATTTTCACAATTAAAAAGGAAAATATTAAGCCCTTGTCCTATGGAGATTAAAATTAAATTTTGGCAAATTTTGATAAAAGTTATTGAAACATGTAATTGAAAAATTATGTATTTTATGAAATATGTGATTAAAATTATTGTTAATTACAACTTAAATTAAATTTTAGATTTCAATACTCCCCGTTCGGTAGGGATTAAAATCGGATTAAAATTAAAAAAATAGTCGTTATTGTTGACTTTTATTAGACAAGTGGGACCCAATAACAACCATATTTTCAATTTTAATCCCTACCGAACGGAACCTAAATTTGGTGTGGGCTATATTGCTTAGCCCCCGTTTGGTACCCATTTTATTCTTATTCTCATTCTCATTTTTTTCTCTTTTTTTATTTCAACATGATTAAACAGTTTGAAAAAAAAAACGTAACACTCAATCATTGCCTACAAGGTCATCTCTGCTATTGAGCCTGTCCAATGAACATTATTTTCACAATTAAAAAGGAAAATATTAAGCCCTTGTCCTATGGAGATTAGAATTAAATTTTGGCAAATTTTGATAAAAGTTGTTGAAACATGTAATTGAAAAATTAGGTATTTTATGAAATATGTGATTAAAATTAATTATTAATTACAACTTAAATTAAATTTTAGATTTCAATACTCTCCGTTCGGTAGGGATTAAAATCAGATTAAAATTGAAAAAATAGTCGTTATTGTTGACTTTTATTAGACGAGTGGGACTCAATAACGACCATATTTTCAATTTTAATTGGATTTTAATCCCTACCGAACGGAACCTAAATTTGGTGTGGGCTATATTGCTTAATATTTTTTTTTTTAGATTTTGAAAGTTAAAAAATTCCTAACGGTACGATATTTTATCACCATCACGGCATCACACAGGGACTAAAAGCCCATGTGATGAAACTAGTTTTGATAAGATCAAGAATAATTATTTTGGACTGTGTACGGGTCCCAATTACCAATAAAATCATTTATCAGACAAATTTGCACGTCTTGTCTTTCATTTATAGAAAAAACCGAAAATGGCCTCGTTAATTTCGTTGGGGAAAATTCAGTTGAACATGTAAATCACGTGTAGGTCAGTGCGCTGAATATTTTATTAAAATTTTGACTTTTCAAAATTACAAAAATTACATTTAGTAGATTTAACAACAAATTTGACGTAAGTTGATAATTTTTTATACATTAATTTTAATAATATTTTAAACAATTAATTACATAAATTTTGACATATCACACCGTGTCAATCTTAATGTACCATTTTAATGTACAACTAATATAATTGTTAGCCGAATAATACATGATCTAAAACCTTAATGGTGCTTACATAAAAGATATGGTTGAATGATGAGTTGTGAATTGAGTGTAGATTCACATGCTGCGGTGACAAAGAGGATGCTTCCTTTTGCTACGGTGACAAAGAGGCATCCCTGTTTGACATCCATTTTATTTCTCATTTTTTTTTTCTATTTCTTCATTCCAACCACATATTTTATTAATAAAATAATATTATATATAAATCCAAAAATTCTCAAAACTTTTTAACCACGCACTCTTCCATCAATCACTATTCCAGAATTTATTATTTCTTCAAAATGGGTGTCAAATACAAGCTAAATTCTGTTTGATCCCTATTTTTATGAATTATATTGTATCATGAAAGAGATAAAGGCTAGATCTTGATCATCAATCAACTTACCTCTTTACAAAAATTCAACATAGTTGTTACCAGAGAAATTTGAATTTTCACCTATCTCTAATTAACCACGATTTTATTATTTGTTCCTTGTTATGTACATGATATAACGGTGTGAATGCACTGTCATACCGAATAATAAATTATACCACTAAAGGAATAGTAATAACACGATGAATAGAAATTATATATATATAAAAATGATAATAGAATCGCGATATATAACTTTAATATTTTTAGTAACG